CACGTCAGACACCACATCTGGGCAGGCTGTTCCATAGCCTCTGTGTTAAATTCCATTTCACTCCACAGATATCGCTCTTTTTTTAAAAAACAGCACTTCTACTCAAAGTCTGAGTGCTGGCAAAGTGCACATGCTCCCACCATGGATATGCAAATGGCAAAGAAACCCCAAAACGAACAACACCCACAAATGAATGAGGAATGAGTTAATAGCCACTTTCACCTGCAAGTCAAGTACAAATGCAAAGTATTCTACCTATGAAAAAATTCTAAAGCCCTTTGCTAAGTTAACTTGCACCAGCAGAGTTTTTACACCATTTATAAAGATTGAGAGGATGTAGATCAAGACACTTTAGTCATATGTTACATAGAAGCCCTGTAGCTCCAAGGCAGCCTTGAAACTGTAAGAACTAAAAATGTTCCAGAAAACTTCACCACATAACAAACCAGTTTAGAGCAGCTCAAATAAACCAGTCAAACAACCACAAACTTCAATTTCAGGGGGTCTTCTTTACCTTACCCTGGAAGAGACTAAGCTAACCAAAACAGAGCTGTGCTTTAATAAAACCTTATGTAAACACTTAGACTTAAATATAAAAGGAATTTATTGAACATTCTACCTGCAGGTCAGAAGTACTTTTGCTGCACAGCACTTCCATCCCTATCCCAGCTACATCCCCCACTCTTTAGGCCCACCACAACATCTAAAGAAGCAAATAAAATCTCCTAAGAAAAAGGTGGAAGCCATTCTCTTTCTTTTCTATGCAATCTCAAAAAAACCAATAAAATACTTGCTTTGCTCGAACCCAGGAGAGAGACCACATTCCTTGGAAAAGGAGAAGAACCTTTCTGTGCCAGCTTCAGGTGCCAAGGGAGGGGAGGCAGTTCCTGCCCAGGGCGAATGAACCCCAAGTGCCCATTTATTGCCAGCACCTGCAGCAGGACAGCCCCTGAGCACAGCTCCCACGTGTGTCTCTACACAGCCCAAATGCACTGCCCAGTGCCAGGCTTTCAGATAAATTATGCTACAGTATGTGCTATACCACAAAGGCAGGGGTCTGCAGAGCCACTGCAACCACAGAAATGTACAAAAACTATTTTATCAAAGTGTCCTTTCCTTTGAACTTTTCCAGTCAGAACAGGTGGAGTCCTTTAGTTTGCAATCAGGCCTAACAAGGAAAAGGTGAGCATCGGTGGGCATGAACTAAACACTGCTTTAGCTCATTTTTATCCTCATTTTCCTTCACACCTGAGTAAAATTCGAATGATTGATCTCCTTAAGATGTATTCGGGAGTCACACATAGCAAGAACACCTCAGGCAAATGAAAGCTACACCTACCTTTCATAGACAGAAATGCACATTGATGCATCAATAAATTACTAATTTATGATGAAACACAATCTTAAAGGTTATTTGAAGTTTTATTCCTTTCATTCATGGATCTGAAAAGGCAAAAAATTTGTTCTAGTTTATATTTTGGCACCAACTAAAGCCATTTAAATGTCTGCATTCAGAGACAAGTGGTTAAGGCTCACCTACCACTTCTCTTTCCCTCCTGATCCAAATCTCTTCTTGAACACAGTTTACAAATAAGTTTTGATTTTTATAGGTGTGTGCATCTCAGAGTCCAAAGGCTTTTATGAAATTAAAAAACCCAGTATTTTCTTCAGGATGCAGGAGACCCAGAACTATTTTCCTAAGTCTTCCCTCACTTTTCCATCTGTATTTGCCGATTCTCCAAACTAGTATCTACTAGTCCCATTGAATAACATATTTTTAAACAAACTCAAAAGCATGACCTACATTCTTTCCTGCAAGGGTCTCAAGTAAAAGTGCACCCTGAGATAATCCCATCTTGACTTCCTTAAATGAAGAACACTTCTCTCGAGGGAAGACTACAGATTGCAAATTCCTTGGAAAAAGGTTACAATTTATGTGAATAGCATGCAACAGAATCAAAAATTACTTCAAGATTCAGTGGAGCATGTTGCTATTTAAATAAGTGTTACTATATTTACTACTCTAGCACTAGAACACAGTGGCTCCTCCAGGAAAAACACTTGGACCACAGCTCAAAAAAAGTGGGTTATGTAAACAGCATCTGTCAAAACAGCAGGACAAGGCCCAGCACTTGGCCATGTAACCCAAGCACTGACCCTGGGCACAGATTGTGACTCTGATGCCTGATACTGTCACTCTTCTTTGCAGTGCCCCAGCAGCACCCCAAGCTAAATAAACCACCCCCAATGTGGGGTTTATTCTTCCTCTGCAGGCAGAGCACACCTTGGGAAAGCAAAGAGCAGGTCTTGCTCCCAAGCAAGAGATTTTCATACTTGAAGCACAATTAACTTGCTCCCTTTTCTTGGATGAAGTTAGGAAACACATCCAAGGAAGAGTTACCCATCTTACTGGGACAGAGCATCCCTGCCCTGCCTTACAGCTCACTGCAGCACCCAGAAAACAGCAACACTGCTGCTCACAAACACGTGCAGTGTGGCTGGCCCCAAAGGCAGGCAGAAGCTGAACACACTCAGTTAACTGAAATCCCTTCATTTTTAATAAAGGCATATCCTACTATTTCTGTTCTAGTTCCATTACAGAGCAAAAGCACTGGTGGGCATTCAAGCACTGGGTGCAGAGCTGCTGAGCTGGGGTGTGCCACAGCAACATCTCACACAGGTGGGCAGTGCAGGGAGCTGAACTAAGACAAGGGAAACCCCGGGCCTGCAAGGGCTCCTGTAAGTTCAGAAATCCTCAAACCATGAGCCATTCAGAACACTTTTTATATTGCCCAACATACACATTAAATATTTCCAGGTGTTCTGACTTCCTTTTAACTCCAATGCATTTGCTTCCACCTTTTGGGATAATGAATGGAAAAAAGTTTCCCAAGTGGTTCCTGGTGACTACACTAATTTCCAGACATCCCCCATCACCTTCCAGCATCGACACCATGGACTGGTTTTCATCAGCCAGATGGGGACAGATGACACTGATCTCCCTTGCTGATAAGCACAAGCATGCAGTGGAAAACAGCAGAACCTAAGACAGCTGGGTATCAGCACTCTGCCATGTTTCCAAAACATGAGAACTGGGACAACTGGATGCTCCTGAGGCAGTGTCTGAGTGCTGAGAGCTGAGGTGCAGCAATGCTGGAGCTGTGCCCAACCTCCGTGTCCCTCCAGGGCGTGTCAAGCAGTGGTGCTGTCACTGAGAGGGATTTTCAGATGCTCATTCTCTTGCAGCCAGGACAGCAGCAGCTGCCCTGAAGTTCTAAAGGCTGGAGTCTCAGGAGTGTCCCACTTGTATCTTTACCCCAAGTCATAATACCAGTGTATTTAATCTTGTCCTCACCAGTACCTTACAATTTTTGTTAGGAACCACCAAGATACCCAAGAAAGGTAACAAAGTCTAAGTTTAAGCTGTAAACTTAAGGAGCAAACTCTCATATCTGCTCTGGGTAGATACCCGAGATGCAAAGTTGAGCTGGTTGAACTTCTCACTGTAAATATTATTTGAATTCCATGTATTATGCTGTGTACAATAATATTGTAAAAATGTATTTCAAAGAAAAAGCTTAAAACAATTTCTAAAATGCAGAAATTCCATTTATTATATTGAGAATATCAATTGCAAGAAGTCCTGCAATGCATTCTCTTCACTCTAAGTACAATACAGTACACTGTTCTCCACAATAAGTTACATAAAGGCAAATTTTATATACATATAAAAAAGGATCAGTGCCCAGAACTATTTGCACAGCATATCTGCTATTCAGAAACCAATGATTTAAATCTTTAGTTGCCTTCAGATTTCTTGAGCAAAACAAATCCATGAACAAATTTTAATTACCTGGTTTGAGAAAGGTTTTCAACTAAAATCTTAATTCAGCAGAAACCATGCAAATGGTTTAACCACCGAATTAGCGTTCTCTGCATTTATTCTATAAACAAATGTATTAAAACAACGAGGCATGCCATATGGTATCATATAAGACAACATGGAGAAAAATTACCTGCCTGCATTTGAACTGTTAATGCATCCCAAAACACCCAAAAGGGAAGTACCAAAGTAGTAGTGCCATTGTACAAGGCACTAATGAGACCACAGCATAATTCTGCTTAAACATGCTCAAAAAAAAAAAAACCCAATAAGAAAACAAATAAAACCCCCAAACAAACAAACAAACAAAAAAAACAACAAAAAACCCAGAGGAAAAAGAACCAAAACCAACACCCTAAAACATCCTCAAACTGAAAAAGTGAAGAATAAGGCTACTAGGATGATCAGTGGAATGAAGAGCATTGTATAAGGAAAGACTGTAATAGCACTTGTTTTTCAGCCACTGAAACAACTAAGAGTATATGACACCTTACAAAAACATGTCAGGAAAATGCCCAAAAGAGAAAGAATGCACAAGGAAAATATTGGCATAATAGCAAACAGGCCTCTAATAAATTCATATGGGAATGAAATGATGGTTCCTCAACTTAAAGGATGAGATACATAGGCAGGGCCTTGGAACAAGAAGGAGTGGGGCCAAAAATATTTAAGCAAACAAGTTTAATAGCACAGCTCAGTTTATAGAAGGGATGTGGCATCTACTGTGGGAAAAGAGCAGGCACAGAAACACCCAGCTGGAATGATCCCAACTTGTCTGATCCATCACTGAAATAAGAAGGTGGTGTTTCCTTTGTAGTGTGAACTTCCATTATATGCTCTAAAATTCCACTTAAAAGGATTTTCATTCCCACACCCCCCCAAATTATTCTCTATTCAACTATGTCAATGTCTGTTAAAACAGCAAATGTGGCACCAAGCCCTTGCTGTGGAATCAGCATCCTGCACAGCTGCTCTACTGGTCAGCATGTCCATGTACCTTTCACGGTGAGATTATTTTCCCACACCTTTCTCTAGTTTCTACAATGGAGCCTAAGTATGGTATCCTTCTAAAGTCACAGTGCAGTGAGCCATACAGACTGGAAATACTCAAGACACAAAAGATTATTTCATTTAATTCTCAAAAGAATGCAAATATAAGAACAGAAATGTACCACATGGAAAAGTGTTGAATTGTACATTCCACAGATCTTTCCAGTCGATACTGAAGACTTTCCTTGAACTACATAAGCTGTCCAATTGAGCTGAGCTGCTGGAACTCGCAAGATATGTAGGTAAGAGAGCATCAGTCAAAGGATTACTGGGAAAACAGACGGGAGAACCAAAAACCCTCTAAACTCTTCTTCACTGAAAAAGAGAGGCACTGCATTTGTGAGCTGGATTAAGGCTGTAGCAGGCTGCTGGTTGGCAGTGAAGTGGCAGTCCCCGGGCAGGGAGCGGGGCCCTCACCCCACGGGCTCGCTGTTAGTCCTGTAGGCCTGCTTGCGCAGGTGCGCCTCGATCTCGTCCCTGAACACCAGCATGCCCAGGTGCGAGTGCGACGCCTCGTTCATGGCCTTGGACTGGATGCACATGCGGTACTGCTCCGGCGTCAGCTCGTCCGCGCAGTGCTTCTCGTGCCACAGGTGGAACAGCCCCGGCACCGGCGTCCTCACCACCATCAGCTCCCCGTGCAGGTACTTCCTGTACAGGTGAACGTCCTCGCCGCCCCAGCCCTTCACCTCCAGGTCGAAGCCCCCTGCAAAAGAGCAGCAGAAAGCGTCACTTGGGCACACAGGCAAGAAGAGCAACGCTTCCTGCCTAAAGTGTTGCTGGATCTGGTGTGACATTCCAGAATTTCTGTAGCAATTAACTGAATTTCCCATGCCGTAGCATGCCAGTTTGAGGGACGGGAGCTTCAAGGATATCACATCCTTTGGTGGTGGAAACTGCCCAGGACACAGATCTGCTGACTTCAGAAATTCTCTTAGGACAGTGCCTCCAAATTGCATTATGCATGACATCCCATGTGACAGCTGCAGAAAACCATAGGCAAACCTCACTGGCTATGCTTTCGGATCATTTTTAGGAAGCATAATGGATTTTAGCAGCTGGAAAATCAAGCAGTCATGCACCATATCAGAAATCCTCTCTAACAATGCCAGCAATTACTCCATAGGTTGCAATTCAAAAGGCTGGATTAAGGAAAGAAACATGCTTTACCATTTTAACTTCTCCTGTTTTTCCAGGACCACGGTGAAGAGCAACCCAGGCTCTTGTACAATTTCCAAACTCCAGAATCATGAAGTCTTCATTTAGCACATAGCATACAGATGGCAGTGTGACTGCTATTAGCAATCAGCCTGCATTCAAGCCACCAGACAGCACACAGGGCTGTGCTGTTACATAATCTGCCAGAAGATCCTCACCACCCTCTCCCACATTTTAGCACATTAAGCTGTTCTCAGTTTTAAGAATATGCCACAAGGGGGGGGCAAAGCACATTGCTGAAGACTCCCAACAACTGTATTCAACTTCTCAAGGTTATTTTAAAAAAAAAGGATTTGAATGCTTTTTGTCTATGTGAGTGGCTTATTTGAGTGACATGTTTTTTAAACTTGATTCACTTGCTTCAGACAGACACAAAGTACCAAAAAAAAAAAAAGCAGTATTTAAAAAAGTTCTAGAATGAAATGTTTCTACTAAAACTACTGTGTCTTCTGAAACACTCAACAGATGGGACATCAAAATCCAGAAAAGCTTATTTGACCAATTCTCAGTGGTCAAACTTGTCAAGCAAGTCTGACTGCTGGGCTTGGGGAAATAATACAAGAAATAAATGTATTACTTTTCTGTCATTAGGTAAGACCAGAGAATCAATTTTTAAACAGACAATTTTTTTTCTTAATCTCATCTTACCAACAGTCAGAAAGTCTGTCCGATATTGACAAGTCATCCCAAAGCCAAAATCCCTCCAGAAACCAGAATCCTTCTTGTGTACCTGCAATTTTAAACCAGTATCATTTTGAAATATAAAATACAACCAAGGAGGTACATTGCACTTGGTTTTGCAGAAAGCTAAGCTCTTCCAATCATTTGTTCAGTGTAGGATAGAGCATAATAACACTTCTGGTATTTCTGTGTGATGCACTCATGTGGGGCTTCCCAGTGACCTGCTGTTCACTTCACCTCTGCCTTCCAATTCCACTCACCCTCACTGCAGCTTCCAACAGCAGTTTCTGCTGCACCACCTCTATTTTCAATGTACCTGCCCAGACCAAGCAGTAAATTAGTCCATTGCTAAATCATCTGTTCCTAACACTCAATTTCCTACCCATTTTCTAAGGCCACATTTGTCTCTTGAACTGATGTGACAAGTAAAGCAAGCTTTGTGATTGATGTCAGCAACCATAATATCGTTCAGTTTAAAAGAGTGAACAGAAGAGCTGTCAGGCTGGGGCTCATTCCTCTCTCAGCTGTGACTACCCAAGGCCATATTGCAAAACCTTCCCTTGAGCTTTCAGTAGGATCCTTACAGCTCTTCCTCATACTACTCTCTTCTTTTGCTCCTCCAAATCTGTCCATCCCAGAAGTCTCAGCTGCAAAACCCAATTTGATCTATGCAATCTCTTGAAAGAGAGTCAGACTGGACACATCATTCACAGGTTTTTACCTCTCACCAGTCCTTTGTTTGCTGGAACATGAGATGAAAGTTTCTGCCACATAATGCCACCATCCTCCTAAAATACTGGCTTGTCAAGCCAGAAAAAACAGCACATCAGAACTACCAACTTCATTTGGTTAATAGCAATAACCTCTTTTAAACTAGGTGGAACTCCAAGTTTATCTGAGTTTTGTATGTTTGATAAGGTTTTTCAAAGTGCTTTTCCCATAATGGAGAAAACTATTTAGCTATGCAGTGCCAAAGGTCGTAAGATAGCCCAAACAGACTATTAAGTTACACTTAATTTTGTTTTAACACAAAGCACATCTAATTCTATCCAGAATAAATCAAGCTGCTTACCAATTGCTGCTCCACAGGAGGTGGTATATCTTGGTTGGCATAGACAATAGCAGGATTGTAAAGGCTGAATACCACAGGATAGAAAACCTTTTTCCCTGGAAGTCAAAAGATAAATGTAACTCACTGTGGGCATGCTTTCTGAAGACAAGAAGAAACCAGAAACACTCTTATGTAAAATATTACCTACTAGGCATCTAGTGGAAATAAATAAAAACAAATTCTAGCTACTGAGACTTCTCACCGAGGAAGACCATAACATCTAGTGGGGCAGAGCCCATAAGATTAAAAAAAATACATATATATGCATATAATACATATGACACTCGATTTACATTTATATATAGTTATACATGCTTATGTAAAATATTCGATATCTCAGTGTCATTCTAGGTGACTAAAAAATTCCTGCAATAAAGATATGCAGTAAAACTAAAAATTAATCAAATGCAAGTAACACCTTGCATTGTTGAGTTTTATTAATTTGTCTCTTTCCACAAAGATGTAATAGCAGGAGCATCCACGATATCCTGCAAGGGCTTTAAGCATCATGAGAATCCTGACTATGCTGAAAATACCAGTTCTGTGTCTATTATAAAAGCCAGGTAAGTATTCTTCCACAGATGTCTTGCATTGCCAATGCTGCAAAGGTATTGACAACAGTCCACAAGAACATTCACTATCCTGATTTGGCATGAACTCTGAAGGAGTGAGCAGCATTTTCAGATCTCATTTGAAGCAAAGGTGACAAACTGCCAGTATGAGTTTCAAGCAGTCTCTTGAACTCTCCTTCTTGTTAAAGCTCGCAAAATACTCCTCTCCAAAATTTTACCAGTTATTTATACAACTTGTTTCATGAAGTACATAGACAGACAGAAATGAATAAAGAGCAAGAAACAGAACCCAAATATCTGGCTTCTGAAGAATTTTCTTGCCTGTTTGTTAGGAAAGAAAAATATCTACTGATTCCAAATTTGACATTTGGGGAAAATGACTTCTGACTGCAATAAATTTCAAACTAGAGTAAGCATCAAAACAAGAACTCAAACAGTTTGACAGAAGGAGGTCTTCAGCAGCATGCTTGTTAACTCAAGAAAGCTTTACCCTTCTTGGCAGAAGCTTGTAGAACAAGCATCATACAAACTTAAGAAAAACAATCAGAATATTTCAGAGCTTGGGATGGAACAGTGGAACATTAGCTCAGTCTCCATAAGGAGCACACTGTAGCTCTACTGAAAATCATTCACATGTGACATGTCTTGGCCATACCCATGTGAGAAGAGAGAAACCAAACTTGTCAGAGATGTCAGCATAACAAAAATCATCTTCCACTGTAGAGCACTGCACTGAGTTTTGTTATACAGATTTACATGCAGTCTAATTGTTAAAGCAATTAAACTGTCCATCTTTCTTTCGGACATGAAAATTGTACATGCTGTATAAGAAAGACAATGTGTTGTTAAAACAAGTTATACTAAGGTAGAAGTTATTTCTCATTTTAAATATTAGTGCTTTTTGTGCAGAGTGTGATACATTTTCCAGGGTGTGTGGTACAGAATAAGCCCCATCACTCCAGTTGAGTTTTCTCTGTTTTCTGCTCAGCACAGGTCAGTTGAAGCTGAGCACGGTGACAAGGCTCTGTACCAGCAACAATAAGGGAACATACCGGGCTCGGCATTTAAGCGACAGCTGTTGAGGAATTCGGCTGTGAAATAAACATCAACATCACAGAAGAACATCAGGACCTCGCCCTTCTCCCAGGCTCTGGCACCCATGTCAAGTCCTCGGCCTCGGTTAAATTCCTCATTCAGAGAGACAAGCGTGTAATTGTGGAAGTCGGTTTCTCTACAAGAAAAACAGAGCCAAACCCAAAATAAATCTGTGAGGAGGGGCAGAGGGACCATTTATAGTTTTTTCAGCATTTTACAGGAATTTCATTCTAGAAATTTAAAATGAAAAACAGTTTTAGGATCAGATGAGAAAAAAAGATCTGTTACACTGCGTAGTCTATTTTAATTTTAAACCTCATAAAATGATAGAAATCAGTCTTACTTCGTAACTTCACTTTGTTTAATCATTCAGACAGATTAAAAGGCCTTTTGTTAACTGACATGAATTAAAATGCTCTCCTGAATTACAGAGGCATCTAAAATTTGCCCCCACAAACCAAGAAGTCCTGACTAACAGAGAAATATCTGTCTTCACCAATTCATCCAGACAAGAGGGCAAACAGGAAGCCTGGCATCACCAGACACACAGGGCAAAAGCCATCTCTGTGGTGGTGCCACCATAACCCAGGCACTTTGCCTCTTCTCACTATTTAACAGTGGCATACATGCCTGTACTCCCACAGAAGAGGGAAGGAGCAGCCAAAGGAGACTGGAAACACCTCAGAGAACATCTTCGAGCAAAGTTAAGTGTCTACTTCAGAGACACTTCAGAAGACAATGCTTGAAGAGAACAGAGTGAAAATATTCAACAGTAGCACCACTAAAGATACAGAACCAGGTAAATGCCCAGTGAGCCTGCAGCACTCAGTGCTCGTAAGGGACATCTCACAGGGAGCCGGGCAGGCAGCAGAGACCTCAAAAACGGAGGGGTACAGCACAGGGCAGATATTAGGGCGACCGCAGTAGAAAATGCGGAAATTCTCTCTTCCCTTCCCACAAGACGCCTGTACAGGTTAGGCCGACTGTCCATCACATGCTCCAAGCTGGTGACAAAGTAGCCTGTGTCTAGTCTGTGTCATGGAGAAAAGCCTGGCCAGCATGGTGAGACAGGGATCACACCAGAGCTCAAGGGGAACAGGCAGCCAGCTCAGGGATGAGTGCAAGAGCTCAGGGAGTAAAGGAGCCCCTTGGCTACAAGGTACGGGATGCTGACTTGTCCCATCTCTCTGGAGCAAAAAACCAAAAAAGACACATTCAGGAATTTTACATCCATCCTGATGTAATGCTACTGCTGAGCCACTGTGATGAACCATGCTTAAAGTCATTTTACAGCTGAGAGTAAGTACAGCCTACTTTGACCACTACATTTCTCTTCCTTATTAAATAAAATTGTTTCTCCAGTGAAGTAGCTATTAAAATGTCCATCCCAGTTCCAAAGAACCTTAACTCTAATCAATCTGTTAGTGTGACTGAATATCCACTGCAAAACTCACCCCTGTTGTTTTTTCAACTGTCAGATAGAAACCTCAAAGTCTTTTCTGGCTATAACTTGATTTTTAGTAGTCTTCAGGAAACTTTTTCAACCTAAGCTGTAAAATGGCAACCATAAATAGTGTACAGTAAATAAATAATAAATTTCCTGTAACCTGTAATGGAGTACAAACTTTATTTGGTTTACCTCTTCATTCTTTTTAAAAAACTGTTTAAAGTGCTGATCAATATTGTTTGTGCTGACTAATGTTGGATTGATACACTTACCTAGCTACAGATTCTAGGATGTTCTTTACTTCTGATAGACCATCCTGTCCAAAGTACACCACTGTGAGGTGAACACGCTTATCCTGATGAATACACACATCTCTAAAAGCAGAAAGATATGCTGGTATTAGTAATTACTTGTAACACAACAAAAAAACCCTCGGGTACTTCAAAGCTACTCCATTAAAAAGTATTAGCAGATTGAAGTATTCTGGTTAGGCATCAAATGGCTTCAAAGAAAGCAAGGAAAGATGCTTTCCCCTCTTCTTTTCTTATTTTGCCCATTTAAATCAGAAGATTCCAACACTGTGTGTCACATTCCAATATCTTTTTTTATAAACAGGCACTCTACAAGTGATGCAAATACAAAATCTATGTTTAAGACTATCTGTGTCCAGGTTCACAATGACCCTGTCACTTGGTCATTTACTGCAATTCCAGAATCTCTTAAGCCCTTTTAGAAGGAACATTTTCTCCATACAGTAGGTTCAATTACAAACATCCCAAGGTAGTTGCACACAATGTTGGAATCATTAGCTCTGTTGCAAATCAACCAGAACAGGAATTCATTTTGAAAAGGAAACAAAATACTGAAAATCAGCATCATAGCTCACTATATAATCTCATGCACCTACCTAAAGTTTTGCATAAACTGTGCAAATGCCTCAGTTCTTCCAGCAAGAGGAACAATAACGTTAATGATCGATCTAGAAATATCGACTGTTTCACTCTTCACTTTCATGAGGGGTCCAAAAGGTCGGAACAAGGTGACATGCCTGTACTCCATGCCATCCATCTTCTTATAAAACAGCTCATACTGTGTCCCCTTATCTCTTTCTGTACGATAGTAACCTGAAGAATAAGTCACACAAGTAATAGGTAAAGTCAAAGATCCCAGTAGTTGTATTTCAGAAAAACTAATTTTCCTAAGAACTAAAGAAGTGGGGGCAAAGCTTCCGAGTTTCTCCCAAAAACATATGAAATTTCCACAAACTGTTATCAATCACAATCACCCTTCTACCACTTTAGGTCAGACCTGAGAAGTAATCCCAAATGAACTCCAGCTTCCCCTGCTTCTTACAGACAACAGGTTTCATGGTCCTATGCCAACTTCTCAGATGGAATTAAGATTTTTTTGTTGGGTCTACCCAACAAAAAGGGAATTCAGCTATTTGCTATGGAAAAGGATGGCTGAAATCTAATATTGCCTGCTCTTAAGCCCTTCAGTAAGAATCTAGCCCTGAGTGAGTCCACAGTAAAATCTGAGAGCATCTGGCCAGTAATCAACACAAGAAAAGCACAATTTGTTCTGTGGGCAGAAAAAATGACAGTAACTTGCTTGACAAAGTCTGCAAAATCTGACATGTGGCATCTAAACAAAACAACTGTGTGATAATGCTGGAATGCTTTTAAATTGTTTTCACTGCTGACCAGTACTACACCCACAGGTTTCTAAGGACATAGGCAGAAGTTCTCTATGTGGCTGTCACACTTTAGGACAACAGTGCTAGTCCCTCCAGAAACAGGACTATCTGTTGAGAGATATTTTACTCCTAATGGGTAGAAAAAAAATCTGTCCCTTTCAGAACATGGTCCTTGAACTTAAGGACCATCAAGAAAGGAACTTAAACCAACAAACCCTTAAACTTACACCACAGAGGAAAGGACTAAGGCTCATCTGTGGTTTTGACCCTACTAAGCTCTGTGCTGCTAATTCTATATCTACGCTAACCTGAGAGTAAAAAATGATGACAGGAAAAATCCTCCAACAAAAATGTCTTATGTTCATCCCATCTCTGCTCTTCTCTCACCAGCAAGGAAAAGATGTATTATCCAGAAAAACCACAAGCCATACCATGAACTGGCATTACATTCCAGTTAAGTGGCCACCTAGACCATAGAGAAAGTTACAAACAGCTGCACATTCCCAAGTGTGAGGCACACCCCGACCTCACACGATGCATTTCCATTCACCTGGCTGCCCTTCTCCAAGCCAGTCTCCTCAGCAGCTGAAATCCCTCCCAGGCCTCCCACCCAGAAAGCAGCTGGCTGCAGGCCACAGAGCAGACAAGCCATACTGGCAACACAAAAGGTTCTCTTTTGCACCCAGCATTGATATTGTCCTTTTTGTGGTCTATTTTTGCAACTGAAATCAACATTGGACAAAGAATGTGAAGGAAGCTGCTCACAGGAACCAAAAAGAAGGGGTGATAGAACTTTGTGTCTCTCCCTATTCCCAGGCAAGTATTCCCCATGTTCCCTTCCCTCTCAATACAAGAAGCAAAGGAATGTTCACACCACCTTCACCTAACTTCTTTCTCTAGATCCCAGATTCCATTTACAAAGAAAGCATCCTTTCCTTCATCTGCCTCTGTGCTCCTCTGCTCCAGCCTCCATCCCCAAACCAAACCCAGTTTCATTCACTCCTTCTGCCCAGCAGTCTCTTCCACAGCAAGCTCCTTATGCTCCTCCTGTCCTCAGCTCTGTAATCCATTCTGTCTGGTGGACAAGCACATCCACTGGCACAACCAACAGGAAATGGGCATGACCACCACAGAGGGGCTGTGGGACACAAGCTGGTCCATCACACTGGAAGTCAGTGATGACTCAACCTCTTAACTGAGAGGCTTTTACCCTTTGAACAAAGTTCTACGATGCTTTCCTTGAAAAGACTGAAATTCAAATTTACGCTGTCAGCACAGAGATGCTTATGTATGCACCACGTTCAATGCTTATTTTTAAATCATTAATTACAAGCACTGAAAATGGTGTTTCAAACAATCAAAGTCCACAATGCTGACTGCCAGAAGCAGCAAAAGCTTTTAGATCCCTCTCAACCCTTTTCCATTCCAACCCTTCGTGCTGCACAGCCCAGCACTGTAGCTTGAAACAGCCTCGTGGTTAATGGAGTAGCTGATGCACCACGGTGCTCGTACATCATGCTTCCACGTAATAGACAGCCAGTACTTAGTACCAAGACTCTTGGGGAAATTAACATTCGGTATTTTATATTTTATTATTTTCTCTGCTATCCAATAGCTGTTTACAGATAAAAATACCATTTAAAATGTAAGTGAAGTTTCTAAAAAGCATACCAGCTGCCAATAGCTTATCTTTAATCAAACGATAAGCTTAGATGTCAGTCTAAAGCAGAAGGCTGAAGTAGAGTAAAAATTTCTAGATTAGTTTTTTAAAAAGTAAACAAAAGCAAAACCCACTGATGTAACTTCATAAAGACCTTAATATGCAAATTCAAATCCAAATAGTGTCTTGCCAACATTCAATTGTTGAAATACAAGATTGCAAACTTTCAATCTCAACATGCTACTACAGCCACGCTTCTAAATAGGATGTATGCCTCGAGCTATCTTCCTTGCTATGAGCTAGCCTCTGTTGCTAATCTACTAATTTGAATACTTCAATGGGACTAAAGTTTCTATGCACAGAGCCAGATTTGAGAACAGAAAAAGAACCCACATCTGGTTTACTTCTTAGTCTATTCAGGTTTTTAACACTTGGAACTGACTCATTTCATAAAATCTGTTATCTCACCTTCCAACTAGCATACACTGGCTGCCATCCAAAACAGAACTCCACAAGCAAAGAAGTAAAAAGCAGCAGAAATAATTTAACGGCTGCTATTTCTGGTCCACGAAGCTTTACTCCCTTTGCAGAAGTTCTGCTTCTCACCAAACAAATTAAACATAGGAATTCTGGGGATCAGTTACTATTAAAGCCAAAAAACTGTTCTTCTATTGCTTTGAATATTACTTGCTTTACAACCACCAAGAAGGGTTTGGTCTGTGGATTGAAGACAAAAGATCTGGAATTTCTGGAGTGTATTAGAATTCTCCACTGAAGTTCCCAGGACCGTGGCCAGTTTCTGGTCTTATGCAGCACACAGGGCAGGGACTGTTTGCATGACAAACGATCCACACTGCTCTATGGATGGCAAGCACTTGGAATCTTGCAGCATGGGAATAAAGGATTTTTACATTCCAAGGATGGGTGGGGAGTCTTCCTTTTCAATGATGACCTAAAGAAAGTTTCTAGACTTCACCCAGCTCCAACTGGAAACACAGAAGCAAGACAAATGGACCTAAACTAGTCTATGAATGTCTATGCACTGCTAGACATTCATAACCTTAATAACAAAACCTTTAATAGCAATTAGCTAATAGCTAATTAGCTTCTGAAAACATGCTAGTGCTTCTATTTTCCAAAGGTTAATTTTAACTGTTTGTGCAATGGAAGAGCTTTTAATTTCTTGATTTAAAAAGCCAATTACACTGATAAATGTAAACCCAAATAAGCCAGTTACACTGATAGTGAAGTGTGTCCATGGAGGCTCCTCAAGGATTCTCTATCACCATTCAAGACTCAATGTCCCCAGAGAGAGGGACAGACAGAAGTAATACTATTATCCCCTCCAAATTACTCTCCATTTCTCAACTCCATTATCAAATACTGATCTCAAAGAAATCTATTTTTAATGGAGGACTATCTTAGAACATGCAGTTCAGCAATTAGGTCCATTATTCACAATCCTAAATCCATTCATTTGTGAAAATATGTAAAATTGCATCTTTTATCCTCTCTAGGGATACTTTTCATCCACGAGGAATAGGATACACTTGTTTCTCATACACTTAGATATAATGTAAACACTAAGAAAAAAAAAAACTTCAAAAGTGTTTCTCAAACAGCTACTGCAGAACAAGACTTTTTTTCAGGTCAGATTTTTATTCTGCTATTAGAATTCCGCAAGTTTCATTATGAATTGCTGCAAAGGAAAACAAAGCAAACAGAGAAATTTGCTGGTTTTCTCTTCATCAGCAGAGCAAGTCAACTGAGCTTTCTGAAAAATATTTTTAAGTTTTCAGAAAGTATCTTTGTAGCTGTAATATACACTTAGAAATTTTTTTTTTTTTTTACTTAGTGCTATTGCTCAAAGCCTGTACATAACCATGATGTGGCTGTGGCAGCTCTGCCTTATCATAATTCCAAAGCAGATTTGGATCACCACTTCGTCTTGCAACACTAGAAAAATACCATCAGTTCAGAAAACACTTGGCCAGAGTGCTCACTGTTGTGGATACAGCTTCCTTGCACCGCTGGCAGAAGACAAAACATCTTCCTGCAGAGCCCACAGAGGCTGAGCATGCAGCAAGGCAGCTGCATGAACAGTTAAATCAAGGACATAGAGCAAAAATGCAGAGTAGCAACAAGAAAGTTGGCATCTCACAGCATCCATCAGCGTGTATTTGGAACTCTTTTGGCCAAAGAGTAATAAAAAACATGAGATTCAGACTACCACAAATATTACTAGCTAATTAAGTGTACTTTTTCAGAAAAAAAGTTTATTTAGGAAATTCCTGTTTTTAAAATAGAAAGATCAATTTTAAATTCAAGTTACTCCAATATAGATAAATCCTAAAATACAGTAAGAAAAAAAAAATATTGATGTTTTTTCAAATGAAGACAGTATTTCACTGACTGGGCATCAAAGGCAACATAAGTGCTGGGAAAGACATATTCACCCGACATTAAAAGACACCATTAAGTAAAACTGCCTATAAGAAAAGATGTCCTAAACTTATTTAAACAGTCACTAAATTCTCTAAGGAGAGAGCACCTGAAAGTACGTATCACAAAAAATTACATGGTTCAAAGTTTAGTCTACTATTTCACAAGTCTAGGAAAAGAGCAGACATAATTCCCAGAACCAAATATTGACCTATATAAAAATAGCCTGTTGAGGTAATGAGCTAGAAGACTTTAGAATAAAAATGCCTATTTCTTATAGCAGTTTTGTGGGCGAGTTTTTGTATATAGATATGCAGTAGTTTTGAGGGAAAAAATCCTGCAAGTCAGAAGATACAATCAACTTATCTATACTGAGCACAAAACATGATGGTTATGTATTAACTAATGCAGTACCATGTTTTCTCTTTTGTCCCAGAAGTAAAAAAAAAATATACACACAAAGTTTCTCAGCCTCCAGTTTCAAATTGCACAATATTCTAGTTTTAGTCACAAACCACTTATTTCAAAATAATTACCAACTGAAGAGGATGTAGAACTTAAATTATTTGCTTCAACTGAAGCCAACTGTTTTTCTAAACGAGCAACACTAATCCAGCAACAATTCTGATGTGCTCTTAGGACAGTTCCTGCTCTGACTCCAGCTGATACACCAAGTCTGCTATGCAATTTGATCCTACCAGTTTAGGACAGCTTAAGGGAGAAGTATTTTATGAATAGAATGGCATCAGCTTTCCAAGTGGACTTCCATCAGAAGGGGACACACAAGCAGTGGAAGCCACAGCCGGTTCATGGGGCTGCAGGGCAAAGGACCTGCATGTACCAACACCACTGGGTCTGCTTTTTACCTCTGAGTTCTGGAAAAACAGGGGTGGGGAAAAATATGCTAACATTCAGAGGATGTCTTTTTTTGCTGGCTAAATTAGCCAGTAGTATTTGCACATAAAAACCCACAGAATACCCACACAACCCACAACTTCTGTCTGAAGAAAGATACTAATAGATATAGATAATACTATGGCTGGTTGCTAACTCAGCCATATGCAGCATAAAAGACTTGTCTTTCCCTGTAGTTCCTGTAACTCTGTGTTTGAAGTTACTGTCATTACAGCAAAAAGATATTAGCTTGATTTCCAAAAACAAATACTGGTGTAAACTGAAGTAGAGGTATGAAGTATAATTCTAAGGTCCTATAATTACTTGCCTTCTTGAACGTCTGTCATTAAAGCCAGTACACTAAAAGAATCAACAGCTATTTCAGCCATGGTAAAGTAAAAATCCACTAGAGTACAAGCAGTATCTAAAAGAGCAATGGAAAAGCAGTTGAATACTTAATGCAGAAATAAAGCTCAAGGATGACTAATAGAGTTTTAAATGAGAACTGTACTAAGAGCCTCACACAGGCTGTGCTGCATTGATCCAGTTGAGCAGATTCCATGCCCTGCACCACCTTCTGGAAAGAAGAAGAGTACTTGCATCAAACTTTAAACACAGTAGCTGTTAAAAAGCAGAGACTTTTTGCACTACAGACCAATTACATCATCTGAGCCTGAAAGAGTCCATTATTTCAAGGCCAATAGTACCCTTCTCCAGCATGCTTGCTTAATAATACAGACATCAGTACTTACTCCAGAATTCCTTCTACAGTAATGGTCTTACAATATGGTCCACATTTGGTTTTTAATGGCAGCATGAACTGTATTTAATACTGTAAGTATAAAGAAGAGGTACTAGGGCAGTTTTTGATAATACTTATCTCATCGCATGAGACCATACCTTGAAAACTACATTTTATGGGATTTGTCACTACTGCATCTTTTAAGGGCCTTACTACGTGTTGAAAGTTTAACTGTTACCTATGCCTTTATAATGCGTGTTCTGCAATTAAACTTACAGGCACTGAGACAAAACTGAAGGGACAACAAGAGAACAGTTCAGGGCTGCACAGCACAGCAGACCCTGTAACTGTATACCACAAAAGGTCTATCCAGGACACCAAGTTCTTCAGCTGACAGGCCCAGCACAGAGCCTACCTCTCCCTCCAGAATGACTATATGCCAACCCTAAGAAAGTCAAATATCTGAATATTAACTAGAAGTGGCATAGAGAGGAGTGAAGAAAAACCAGTAGATACACACTGGATTGTTTAACTAGTCCGGAACATGAGAGATGATTCAATTCCTTCCACTGCCACCAGTTTCACTGAAAAGTCTTTCAGTTATTTAGTACCATAAGCAGCTGTGTCACACTGACTGGCTACAATCAGTTACAAATGCATCCCTATTTTAAACGGATACAGCTTCCCCCATATACCTCTCGTGGTAAGCCCTTCTGAAATGCATTTGTTACTTCACTAAAAACACAAGACAATGAAGCAGTAATATTCTCATTGTCAGAAATAAAGGTTCTTACTGTGCAATTACTTTTATGTAAAACACCTAAAAGTACAAACACCATTAAATGCCTGTTGTGACATTCCCATAAGGGGTTGGGAAGCATGCAAACATACCTTCTATAAAATCATTTTCACTATATAGCTGCCTGTCTCCTACTCCATCATCTTCATCTTGTCCATCTTCTTCATCTGGATTATTGATAACTTCTAGGCCAGCCTCGATAACTTCCACCAATTCATCTCGTTTATCCTTTCTAACAGGTTTCTCTTCTGGATGCCGAGTGAGCCCCATCTCCAATTGGAATACTTTCATGGATGTAAAGCTTTCAAAAGGAATGACTCCATACTCACTAGGCAGTTTGGCCCCCACGCTCACCTCAGCTTTGTCAATCTGGGAATGAAGAAACTCTAGGAGATCATTGGATGTTTGTTCTTTGGTGCCCTGGTAGTTCATACCATTAACCTTCGGGCTCTTTTTTTCCTGCAGGGACTTCAATTTGTCACTCATTTCCTGAAGCTCTTGCTTTAGCTGGGCAATCTGACGTTTCAGACTGGTAGCTCGGTTTTGATAATGCTCTTCTTGTTCCTGCAAGAGAGCTTGATAGTATTCTTTACCCATGCTTTCACCTACAACACCAGGCAGAGATCCATTGCCATCTGTTTGTGGAGCACACTCCAGCAAATACATGAGCAAGACTAAACTGAATAGTAAAGCAAGGCCCACCAACAGCCAACGAGTCCTGGCTTGAATTACTAAGCCTCTTCTGGGCATTCTCATATTATTTCTGTTTCCAATCCTAAAAGATGACTTATCTGAACTTGCTTTCCAGGGGACATCACCCCAGACTCCAAATCTTAGAAAAAGAAAGAAAACACAACTGTAATAGCTACTACAAGTTCTGGTAACATAGCTGATGAGCAGTTTTCAAGCTTTGCCTTAATCAAGTGTCATTGCAGAGATGTAAATCTGAAGTTCCTATGTCATCCATAACCATCAACTGTAAATCTGGTTGACGCCATACAATTCGTTCAGGATGTCCTACCCCAAACAAAAAAGCCCTGCAAAGGGGGAAGATGGAAGACACCAGCAAGGAATCATATTTCCATTTCCTAATTCAGCTCTAGTTGAAGGGGCTTAGCTTATTTGAAGTTTTGTGAGGGAAATCTGCAAAAATAATTTTGTAAGCTTTGAACAGACAGCAATTTCCTCCCCCTACTATGTGTGATGGCAATATACAATTTAGTGATACTAATTTTCATTGGCTAGTCTTGCTTTTCCTCTGGCACTTGAGTATTTTATTCCACGTCCCCTCCTTTCCTTGGAATCTGTGGTTTGAGTCAGCAAAACGAAGACAGAACCTAAAAATAAAAGAAAGGTGCATATTAGAACTACAAAGCAGACTGTAGCCAGCAAAAAGTTTCTCGTTTGAGAAACACATGAACAAAGTTCTAACACATGCATGCAAAAGATTGCTGGTGGAAGGAGTGAGAAAGGGAGAAAGAAACCATTTCTTTCCTTTGCATTACCCATCAGCAACTCCCTTGGACATAGTGTCTGGAAAACAGTAATATGGACAGTCCAATAAAGTGCATTTGTCACACAGCTTGCCAGAGCAGTAACGGTTCTTCTAGTCTCACCACGGTTTATTTCACATTTGTTTTAATTCTCCCATTCCTTCTTGGTTTTGCTTTTAGTTTAAGTAAATACCTTTCAGGGCATAACCGTTCAGTCATGAATAAAGTATTATAGATTTAAATATCAAATTTTACAGAAACTGCATTTCAGAGTAAGTCAAATTCAACAGAAATTAAAATTCAAACACCAATCCCTGATTGAGGAAAGGGATCCTGAGATAATCCATCTGCTAATATTTCCACCTTCTGATATGGTTAGGCTAACATGAAGTGGCAGTGGTCACACTCTTACATGACTGACCAAACCAGTCTAGAGGGAAAGACCAAAGAAATAGACCAGTTATGCAAGAGGGGGATACCAAAAATCCTACTCAGCTAAATGTTTTATGGGCCTCTTCAATGACAGTATAAAAAACTAAGAAGTAAGGTCAATGCATGTAAGTCTACTTTCAACATTAATCAAATACTTGCATTTAAAGTTTGCCTGTATAAAGTAAGTGAAGCTCATTAAAATTTATCCAGGGACCTATTAGCTCTACATCCATTTTGACTGTGTTATGAAGTTACGGTTTGGGGGAAGTTCTGAGGCTCCCAGTTTAGTTTTACTATCCATATGAGACTAGAAAAAAATTGTTCCCTTCCATACTCCTTCCATGTGTGTTAGACAGCCTTATCTGGCACTGCCAGCTGCCACCCAGCCCATCTTGTGCTGACCCTGTGAGTCAGTCAGGGTGCCACAAGCGCCAGCCCCACGCCCCAGGGTGCCACAATGCTCCCCAGGTGTTTGCAGCATATCTGGCACTGCGTCTCCCCAATTGTGTCCTTGTCTCCTCCCCTGCCATTCTGCTTCCAGCACCAGGATACTGCTCCAGTGCAAATCAGGTACCCCTGACCAGCATCTTCACTTGCAAGAAAGCTCCAGTGACAAGGCTTGAAAGATTAAGTGACTATTCATACCACCAGCAGTAATGCCTGCCACAGCCAACCCAAAGTTTGTGGGCATATTATGCACACCAAGTTTGCCAAGAGCTGCACACCTTGGAGTTGTCCAACTGAAGTCTATAGGACTGCTCAGAGCAGTTTTTAGTATTTGTAGTGCTAAAGTGCCTGTTAACAATTAATCTACGTAGATTACGCAGAAATTGTTAATCCAGCAGATTAAAGACAATTACTCATCTGAAACTGAATCTTTTGGAACTCATGGAAAGCTACTGGACACTTTGATACAAATAAGTAACAGTTTTATCAACTGAATACTAGATAACATCCTTTCAAATCCAGACAAGCCAGAAGTTAATCACTCCTCACTGCACAAACACAACATTATATAAATCCAAGCCGAATGCCTATAAAGAGTCATCAAACCCAGATGTATCCTCAGATTACTAACCTGTGTTCAGATGTGATGACTCAAGGGAGATAGAGGAAAAATATCTACAGGATACAACCAGTTCACAAAAATGGTACAATATCATCCCGAACTTTCTTTAGTACAAAGATGACCATATGCTATTTTTTTACATTTCTTGCTGAATTCTTGTTCTGTTACACTGCAAGAGGTGAAGCCACAATATCATAAAGAAGCACGAGTTTCTTTAAACTTCAGTAAATGCTAAACTGCACTAAAGCTACTCCATGCAGAAGCTGACACATCTTCAATCAGTAAAGGCGTATTGAAAAATGATCAGACTATCTAACTTGTATAAAATATCAGTAAATCAAGTCTCAACTATTCTAACTGTTGGTAACTGACAAGTCGATACCCCTGAAGATGGAGCATTAGTTCTAGTAGGCTTTTCAATTCTTGCTCCACCAATAAATTGCCCTGTGTTCAACTTTGATGAGTCACTAAGCTTCTTTAGGTCTCATTCAGGTCTCAGAAGCAAGGGAGAACAGATCTCCAGATGTGGTCAAGAGGACACAATGTACCAGGAGATTAAGATCCCTTCAGAGAATAGAGGGGGCACTGAGGGAACTCTTGTTGCTCATACCTTCGCTCACTGTGGCCAAACAGACATCATTATGGTAAGCGTGGATTAGGGAAGTCAGCACGCCCCCGCGGGGACTCCCTGCCGGGCATGTGCACACTCCTGGCCCTCCCCAGCGGCACTTCACCTATTCAGAGCACGGGGCTGTTCGGGGAGCACTGCCCTGAGGGGTGCTCAGGGAACTGACACAATGAGCCATTTCTGAGCAATGACAACCACACGAGCTGGGCTGTAAAGCTCTCACTGCTATTTCCGTCTAGGCGCTAATTATTCCTTCATTAGCTGAAACTCTTTTTCTATGGGCTGGTGACAATCCTATTAAGAATACAGCCTTTTTACAGAGACAGGCATTGCCTATTTATGTTTGATCATTTTTCTGCAACACCATAAACAAGAGGCATTTTTCCCACTGGAGCTTCACCGTGGCCTTTAAAGGCTAGGAATGTTTGTGCAACCAGTTATGTCGAACATTAAAATTTTAAATTGCACATGGAGACCTGAATGGGTAAGTTAGTTTGCTAAAACAGTGGGAGCTGAACGAATTGACTTATTTTTTTTCCCTTCAGTATTACTTCTGCTAAGGGAAGTGATCATAAAGGAATAAGATACATTTCATTTTGAATACTTCAAGGAGTGAGCAAAAGCAGTAAGAATCTTCCTTCTTATCCCACTGGAAAAGGAGGGCTTATGAGCACTCAATTTCACGATCCTCTCTTTTCAGGGGGGAAAAAAAAGAAAAAAAAAATAAAAAGAAGCCCTGTTTTTGCATATTTACAACCCAAATTTGATATGAGTTCGGTCTGGCACAGCCATATTTTAGGAATTCCAGTAACTAGGCTGTAGAGTATGATTACAAGAAAAAGCAGGCTGTGAAACCCCAGAATGAACAAAAGCACGTGGGATCCCAAAAACCACAATAGGGAAACTAACTGGAACGCTCTGAAGTTTATACAAAAGGACAGTAAGATTACCCGGTAATAAGTAATTACACAGTAAATCCCCAAAATTTCAGTGCTTAAAGATTAAGTTCCAAAACTTCAAATCGCACACGCTGGTATTTAACTTCATATCAGTTCTTCAGAACAAGTCTATTTGCAGTAGTCTGTATGATCTCCACAGAATGAGACATCTGAGGCTTATACAATGCTTATAAAGATCAGCAGGTTTTCCAGAGGCACCTGATTGTTAATTCCTTCTGCATTTCCAGGGCCTTCTGTATATTCAACAATGGAAATGTTTCTGTTCCTTACAAAAAAGATCATTGATTCTCTAAGCACAAGGGATTAGACCAGCATGCTAATTGAAAATGCTTTACATTTTTTTTATTATATTAGCATTCTGGTTTTGTTCCTTGCTGCAAAGGATGAGTACATCTTTCTTAAGTGGGGAAACATTCACACTTGAGGCAGTGACCTAATTCAGTATACACTTGGCTTCATGCCAGACTGTGGGGACATTCCTTGTGTGAGCATGTTTTACTTCAGACATGTCCTTTTCATTCAGAATGCCCTAGACAGTCACTGTTTAGTTGCTCATGAAATTCCAGTTGAAAATTATTTTATTGTTCATAATTTCACCCAGAAGCCACAGATATTCACTGTCTTAAGCCTCCTCCACACACATATTTCTCTTCTTGGCAAGTTATACAATGAAAACATGAGATCCAATCTCATCCCTTGCATACTCCCTTCTTATTCTAAAGAACAGAATAGCTTGGAATGTTAGAGGAACGCTGGGGACACCTTTATCCTCTCACTTGCTGAAACTAAACACAAAGCAAGCTGAGCATCTGCTGTTGTAGACAATCTTTGCATAAACCCCGGAGCGAAAAACCTCAAACCATACCTTAAGTACACATCACATCATCTCTGCTTAGACAGTCTGCTGAGGTATAACCTCGGAAAAGACAAAAGAATTTGTCCAGGGTTTTATTAACAGTTCTAAGTTAGACATGTCAGCTATTAGGAAGAAAGGAAGAGGAAAAAAAATTCACAAGAATTAATTGTCAAGGTTCTCACTTTGCACAGAAAACTAGTCAAGAACCTCACCCTCTTTACTGATCACAAAAAAAAAAAAAAAAATCTTTTTTTTTTACAATTCTGCCATCTGATATGCTTTCAGCTACGGCTCTGCCTCCCAAGCACACACACATGCACTGCTGGATGGGAGAGAAGTTAAAAACCACTATCAATTTATGGAAAGACAACCTATATTCAATAAAATCAACACGGAAGTGAAAATAATCACAAAATATTTTGGACCATACCAGTTTCACACTGAATTCTGAAAAACCTGAAAGTTTTGCTTGTACACATTGCAACCACTGCCCACGGTAAATCAATCACATCAAACACACACAGTAGCTTTTTTTCAACTTTTTGAAAGTTTAGAGTATGATACACTGTTCCAATTTACCCCAGCATCCCCTTTTTTAGTTGGTAAGCACTGAAATTCAGCTTTACTGCTCACCTTACCTCACTGACACCAAAAATTCTTCAAGCTACCCCTCGATTTTCATCAGTTTCCTTTCCTCTGCCAAAGCCAGAGTCCCATGGGGGAAACAGGGAGACAACGATGACTGTACACTGAACACTGAGCATGTCACTTTATTTTTAATGAAGGACATGGGAAAAAAAAAAAAAAATCAACTCTGGTGAACTGTCCACATTATGAAGAGGCTGTGATGAATTTTAAACTGCTCAAGTGTATCTGCAATAGGTAACTTCACACATTTCTTTAGTTTCTAAATGAGAAGGAAAAAGAAATCATGCCTTTGGCAGAAGGACCATTCTAGAACTCACAGTACACCACGAATAAGTAGTTCAGGCACGGGAACCATAGGAAAAAGTTACTTCAGTGAAGGGTGCAACAATCACAGGGCTTACTACTCAAAAAATAATATTCTCCATGCAAATGGTTTCTCTTACAAAAAGCAACATTGTTGTTTTGCCAGCAGAAATGCTGTGCTCCAAAATAAAATTAAGACCAAACCTCCACAAATTTCCACTGCCACATTAGACTGCAGTATACAGGGAAGATATATCAGGTTTCTTGTCTCCCTTGTTTCAT